AGGTCTTCAATTGCTAAGCATGTTAAGACAAAACATCTGACAGCAACAGGCACCTGCTAGACCAGCAGCTGATTAATGTGACTTAAACAGCTCCTTCAAGTAGACTTTATCCATTCAGGGAAAGGTACACAACAAACAGGTTTAAACCCACAACAGGTTAGCACATGAGTAGCTTGCTGAGAGCACATCGACAATCTTAAACTTCCCTGACCCCCGCTGTTGTCAACACATCCTGCAAAGCCCTTGCCTTCGTTCCACAGCCCTGTGACTTCCTCTTTGTAAATCAATGCTTCTCTCTGAGAAGCTGATGTCTACTTCCCCTCCTTTGTAGGCCAAGGGCTTTAACTGCTTTTTGCTTTAACTTTAGTTTCTCTGGCCTTGAAAAAGCATAGGCTGCTCCCATTTCTTAAACAGAGGGTCAGGATTTCCCAATGACAAGCTTACTCTTCATTTCTGCAGTGTTCTCTTTTGAGATCCCTTATCTCCACCCTTGTTTTGGTTTCCTGTTTGCTCCCCCTTGAAACAGCCTTCTTTAAGTCTATGCAGCAAATTCTATTATTATTATTCAATTCTATTATGGTGACAGACTGTCACAATAAAATCAAGCAGTGACACTAAGGCACATATGTTGATGTGAAACACGGATCTACCTTGTTCTTCAGTAAAAATTATTAGACTGAAAAGATGTATCTGGTTTGCCATGTGTGAAAAATCCTAACAGGCCTTTTGGGGAGGAAGATGTGGTGAGTAGGTAAGAATATGAATCCAGGGCTATGTTAAGAAAAGGTCACAGAGAAATATGTCACATTTTTCTACATGGCTGGAAAAAGAGGTGGAAAAAAGAGGTAGCAGGTGCATGAGAAAGGTGAGAGGACTTAATAATATAGTAGAGATTGGCACAGGTGAGTAAATTGTGGAAGATGACATCAAGATTTTGAACCTGAGAGAGTGGTAGGAGAGGGGAGATATCAATGGAGATAGATGAGAGGTGAGAAGGATTAAGAGGAAAAGTAATATGTTTATGTTTACAGCATGAGACTTTTGTATACCAATTAAATATACAGTGGGAGATATCAGAGACAGCTGGAAATGTTAAACTGGACAGGGGGAAAAGAGACATTTGGAGAAGATGTAGCTGACTGAAGAAAAGAGTTAGAAGGAGAGAAAGCCAGGAATCCATTGCAGAAAGAGATGAACCAATTGTATGTAGGCACATACATCAGGTTTTGCAAGCCTGCCATGCTCTGAGTCTAATTAAACTGCATACAAATACTGCACACATGCACAAAAAAGCCCACCCACAAGCTATCACGTGACAATGAGATAGGATACAATTGATGCATATACTCAATAGCATCCTCAAACAATACTTGGTAAATGTTAAACAGGAGGACACCTGAAGAAAACAGAAGTCAAAATAGCAGCCCTCACTAAATTAAATAAAATCTCAAAATATCAGGCACTGCAGAGCTGGATTCTATAGTGGATTTCATCCTTTAGCCAAAAATGAGAATTGGTTCCACTGATTAGAAGCTGTTTGTTTGCATCAGGGAGGTCAGATTCTCTTCTGACAGACTCAGACAATAGGTGTGGGATCTCCCTAGTCTCAGGTTCAAAGTCTAATTCAAACAATGTGATCTGAGCTATTTTCTTTAGCTGTGGAGACCAGATATATGGGCACCATCAAGTCAGGGATTAACTTCACCTGTCCTATCTGAGATCTATTATACATGTCAAATAGCAAGATAAGATTACATGGTATGAGGTGACAAAACATGGAAAATCAGAGCTCAGACTAGCTCTGCTGAGCAGAATTTATCAATTGGATGGGCTGCACTGACTCTCCCAAACATGCTGTCTACAGCAAGGTCAAATCTGGCAAGCATTTCCTTTCTGTAGGTAAGGAAATGCTTTCTTTCCTTGCCTGTAGCAGTACAGCTTGAATGTGTGTGGTACTGATCCAGATCACTTGCAGCAGACTTGATCCACTTGGCTTTCAGTGCTTCAGCGTGAAGTGGAGAAACTGAAATTCAAGTCCAGTAGCAGAAATAAGGTGTAGTGAGTATAGCAGCAATGACATTAATACAATGGTATTACATGGAATCTGTGGCATCAGATTACTGCACAAATACAACCAGTTCCCCAAAGACTGAATATCTTCCAAGGAGTTGCATTCAGGATCAATAATACCAAACATTTTTATTTCATTGGTCTCTAGAACCCCCCCCCCCCAAAATTTGTTCTGACTTCCAAAATGCCTTATTATCTATAGTTTTTTAATATTTGAAGTCCATTAAAGTGGTGAGGATGACTCATTAGAATGATATTAGCAATATACTTGATGGTGAGAACAATGAGTCTTTTGCCAAACCAATACTTAGTCATTTTGGAAGGTACTGTGATTTAGTACAGTGAATTAAAAGTCAGGGACCCTTGTGTTCTACTGTCAATTTTTTGTATAATGTTAGGTGAGTCATTTATTTTTACTGTAATCTGTCCAATGAGGAATACCCATCTATCAGGTATTTTGTGCAGATTAGAATTCAAAGCACTTCTGAGGTCCTAGGACAAAAAAGTATACGTTTTAAAGTATTATTTACTAATTAAGAATACTTTAATTTTGAAATAGATCATGTCACTGGCATAGATCACATCCCAGTCTGAGCACTTACTCATAGACACCTTAGTCACCAAGGGGAACTTGTTGTATAACTAGTAATTATGTTGTTAGAACAGACTAATGGTGCCGTTTTGTTGTTAGAATGCATGAATGACACCTATGAATGAATTAAATGTAAGGTGTTGAGAGAAGGAAAGTTGTTCTGTGGTGTGTTGATGGAATGTGGGCCAGCACAGCTAGCATGTCAGATAATGATGTATGACGTTACATGCTGAGAACCTAGATCAGATGTGTCTATAGAAATGTGAGTCTATCCTGAATGACCTGAGCAATTTATGGGAGTAGGCAAGGAAAAACTCTTGTATTGTGGGACTACATCCCTCTCCCTGAATTTCTAGGCCTTTGTGTTGAAAAAGTTGTTTATGTAGGAAGGATGGCTCTGATTCATCTTTGAGTTTTGTACCATTGCTGTGTCTCATTGAAAAATTGGAGAAATGCAGTTGCAAAATCAAGTTCTGTGGGCACATCTACACAAGACATGTTAATGTGCATTAGCCCAATTTACTGCACAGTAAGGGTGCATGTCTACACCTACGCACCCTTACTGCACAGTAAAAATAGCTAATCACGGCTAAATTTGATACTTGTAAATGCAGGTATATACCAATGTTTAGGTTTTTTGTTTCAACCATGTGCAAGTCCTTAGAGTGGAGCTGGGGGTGGGCAGAGGGTAGGGGAAGTGTGGGCAGTGGGACAGCTGGACTGGAGTGGGGAGTGCAGGAGGAGGTCAGCCAGGGCCTCCTGCACCCAGTGCCCTGGACTCTGCTGGCATGCCCTGGGTATGCAGCTCTCCTGGGGCCTGCGTGGGGTTGGGCCTGTTGGGGCCAGCAGGAGCACAGGGGCAGGGCTGGAGCAATGGGGTGCTGGGCATTGCTGGTAGGGGCAGGGGCTAAAGCAGCCATGGCATGGAGGCAGGGTGGGCAAGGAGGGAGCTGTCATGTGCTGCCCCTGTGCTGGGCAGGGAAGGGCCTGACCAGGGATCAGAGGGTGGGGCTGTGTTTCCAAGATGGCTGCCAAGTGCTAGCAGCTGGGTCTGGCTTCAACATGCCTGCAAAGTGCTGGCAGCGGTGTAGCCAGAGGTTGGAGTTCTCCCCAGTGGCCACAGGGGCACATGGCAAGACTGGAGGGACTGGAGGGAAATTTAGTGCCAAGTCCTTACGTGTAGACACCTGACAAAAATTGCTTACTGCATATTAGCTTAATGCACAGTAAATTAGGTCACAACTAACTGCATGTGTAGACATATCCTGTATGTCTGATTTGTTCCAAGGTCCAGTGGCTATGAAGTACCTCTGGAAACAATTGCTCTAGTAACTACTACCACTCACTGAAAGGGTCAAATTTCATCATAGTTATACCTTTACAAACTCACTAAAGTCATTTTTAGCTATTAAAAAATTGTAAATGTCTGCATGTCAAAGCTAGAACTGCATGAATCATTGATTTTTTTTTCAGTTTGCTGGTTAATTTCAAATTGGGGAGGGGGAAGCAATTTAGCTCATACCAAAATAAAGGTGTTTAGGTTTTCTTACCAAAAACATGCTGTTTATTTCACATCAAACAAAACATTTCATTTTAGGATTTTTTCCTTACTTTTAACATTTAAGTTAATTTCAAAATTAAACATTTTGACTTTTTCAAAATTTTATTTTTGACTTTAACAAATTGATTACATTTGACATGAATTCATGACCAGTTTCAGTTTACTCCAGTCTGCCTTTCTAGTAATAAACTATTTAACCAAAATATTTCACCCTGTTCTAGCAATGATATAGTATCAAGCATCATATTTTGTATGCACAAAGGAAATCTTCAAAACACAGGTAATGTCACCAGTGGCAGAATAAATGCCATTATGGATAGGAATAGGTGGAGGAGGAGGAAGAGAGAGAAATCGGTAGTAAATTAGCAATGAAAGCAGAATTTAACAAGACAATCACCCCCTTAATCAACATTAGAAGCCAGAGAGTAAGTTTAAATGTCTCTCTAAGTATTGTTAGGAGGGTACTGCTTGAGAGACAAGTTACGCCAATGCATCTTTCTTCCCCCTTGAAATTCCCTCCTCCTTCCTAATCAAATGCACATTAAATGCATGTCAATAGTTGCACTTTTGTGTACAGTGTTTTTGCACTAAAATAGCCAATATTTCCATAACCTGGATTGGCATTCTATAGTGCAATAGCTGTTCTTGTGTTAAGGCAGGTCAGTCACTGCTGACAGAAGTTATGACATGAAGGAAGGTGTGAGAGATTGACAGGTCTCATGTTTCTGGGACAATAAAGTGAAAACTAGTGAAATATAGAAAACAGTGGCAACTCACCATGAGAACTGCCTGGCTGTTGCTCTGCCCTCAGTGCCTAGTCCCTCTGCAAGCAGGTAGGCACTGTAATAAATAAATTAGTTTTTGAAATGAGACGTTACTCAATTCACAAAAGTTATGGAGTTATGTCTTGTGTCCAATAAGGGGTACCTCAAGTCCAACAAGGGTTTAGGTCCACTGCTCTAATGAAAGAACCCTGTATGACAAAGGGGATAACTTAGTATGAAATATGATCAGCTGTGGGGGACATAAATCTTGGAGAGCTCAGTAGCAGGTGTAGCAGACCCTCTCACCTTCCTCACTGTGATGTGGCATGTGGGAAAACAGTAATGGGGAAGTCTTAAAATGGTTGGTTGTACATTTTTCATCAAGTTAAAGTCAGATGAATTAACAATTAAATCAACATAATCTTGATATGGCTTTTCATTGGCTACAAGGAACAATTAAATCCATACTGATAATGCAGCTCTTCCTCTTCCACACCCATTCTTTACTTCCATGTGTTACAGTAAGCTGTCCTTTCAGTGAATGTTTGATGAGGAACAATGCTTTTCTGTGGCCTTTTTAAGACAGACAAAAATGAATTGGACCTACACTGGTGATCTACATCAAGCAATTTATCTAAACATTGTAACATAATGATACATAAAAGTTATGGCAAACTCATGCAGCTTAAACTATGTAGTAATTATCTGAAGCTTATTTATGCATTTGTCTCAGCATGATAGGGATAGATTTCATAGACATTAGGGCTGAAGGGACCTCGGAAGGTCATCGAGTCCAGCTCCCTGCCCAAGGGGCAGGAAGTCAGCTGGGGTCATAGGATCCCAGCAAGATAAGCATCCAAATTTCTCTTGAAGGCATTCAACGTGGGTGCTTGAACCACCTCTCATGGCACGTGATGGCTTATATTCAAAAGTGTCTCAACATTTACCTTAACAGGCTTTACTTCAGGAGATTACCACTGCACAGTAGTGTCTTGTATAGCTGCAGTCAAAGAGTGCATTAATATCTGTGAGTGAGAATTGGTAGTTGAGAATGTGGGCGCTTGCAGAGCCCACATTCACTTGGTGGAGAAATGCAGGGATGCTAATGGAACTGAATGCAGGACTGGAGCCTAAGAATCTGCTAGCCATTCTCTCATTGGATAGTCCTTTCCCTTGTCAGTACTCTCTAGTTAAATCAGTGGGAGTACTTATAGTGTAAAGTCGTACTAACTCAATGTAATGTAGCAGAATTTAGTCTTCGGTAAATAGGGCCTTATTGCCTCCCTTGGAATAATTCACACATCTAACAGGATGTACAGTGAAATGAACATATTAAAATACAGTGGAGAACTGAGTTAATTTTGTGATTATCATGGGTCTTGTGGCAATCCACATTATCCTAAGCACAGCTCAGTTTCAAATGGTCATAGCATGCATCAGTGGTGATGGCTATCTTGATAGCCCCATTTATTTTTATTACTTTAGGACAGACTCTTATGTGTGTGTAATGGTTAGAGCAAGCCACAGACAATTGGACCGCTGGGTGTTTTATCATGTTTGCAAACTACTTAGGGCTAGATCCTGTCCCCAGTCTTACACAGCACCTGAAGGGAGAAAAAAGTAAACAGTGGCATGACTCTTTCATGCTGCCTGACACAGCTGGCCAGCCTTATGCGGAAGAATATACTGCACTCCTTAAATGGATATAGTGGTCTTCCCTCCCTAAGCTCCAGGAGACATTTTCTAGGCTAAATAGAGACAGTGTCGCTCTGGGCTTCACTTTAGCCAAATTAAGGGTCTCTTAATTTGAGAAAGTACCTACCTTGGGGGAGTGTCATTTGCAAGTTCTTTTAGATCCTGATATGGAAGATGTCAAGGACATGCATTTTCACGGTTCCTATAAAACATACAGGGTGTGTCTATATGTGCTATTAATCTGTACATAGTAAGCCTTCCTTAGGAGCACATTTACATGTGCTCCCTGTTTGGAGCAGATTTGATCCCAATAGGAGCAGCCCGGTATAAGGCTGTTCCCACCCTGCTCTGCTTCCCTGCAGCAGCCAGGGGGAGCTCCAGGCTCTCATGGGTGCTAACCCAGGGGCTATCAAGGGGCATGAAGCCAGTTCTAGTGGGCACAGGGCCAGGAGAGCCCCCCAGCTGCAGTGGCAGCTGTTTCCTGGCCCCATGCACATTGGGCCAGGAGACTGAAGTACTAACTGAGTTTGCAGTAACTACATTGACTGCACAGTAGCGCTGGAGCACATTTTTGTGATGGTTACTTCACAGTAGCTTATTAGCATGGTTTTTGATTGGCATGCTACTCTGCAGTGTTATTAGGCTACCATGCAGTAAGCCTCTCATGTAGACACACCTACAATGTACCAAGTTATATGTAATGTGAACACCAATGCACATTAACACTTAGCTGTGTAAAAATGTACCTTTTTAAAGGGACTTACTACATAAAAACCTAGTAAATATTATAGAGTTGGTTTTTTTATTTTTCAGGTGAATAATGCATGTTTTAGAACCTTCATGAAAATTCCTTGCTTGCTGCTTCTTCACTTTTAATTACTGTAAGAGAAAAGAAATTATACAGACAAATTAAAATGAAGTGATGCTCTTAACAGATTTTTTTTCTTGCTTTGGAAAACCATAGCAGAAAAATAGTAGCTGTACAACTTCAAAGTACCTTAAAGCTTGGGAAGTCAATTAAAGATAATTAATCTGTTTTTCCTGTTTCTGTAGTTCTGGCTTTCACATAATGCTTGCCCTAAACAATAACAGTAAAAAATGGATGGCACTTTATTCACACATTAGAACTGTGTGCAAATACACAATAAAACATTTTTTTTTCATATTGCTTTAAAAACCTAATCAACTTTGCTCATAACTCAGTTAAGCATAAAGATGACTGTGGCAGGCCCTTGGCTTGCCACGTGAGGGGTGGACTGCCCCTAAGCCTACTCACCCACCAAGACCTTCAGGTGTTATCCGTACCTCTGTAATGTTGTTCAGTGGTTCTTCCTAACTCTGGAACACCCGTTTGGTGCATCTTCTGTGGGGCTCCTTCTCCCCTACACCCTACCCCTTTCCACTCAGGTGTTCTTGTAGGTCACAGGCTGCACCTTGGTGTTGCAGGCGATTTGATGTGCAGCTAGGATGATGCTCCAGTATCATGGTCACTTGCTGTGACCTATTATGCTTGGAGAGAAAATGCTAATGCAAAAAGAAACCAAGTTAACTTAATGTGGCTCAGGCTGAGCAGTGGGTAGGGCAGTGTTGCCCCCACACTGCTTCCTCAGCCCCTCACTCTCCTTCCTCAAAATGGCCCCCTTTTCCTTGGGGCTTTTTCCTACTGCCTTGTGGCCATGTATCCCTGTGGTTTCACGTGTTCCCTGCTGGGCTCATTTGTGGCTGGATGCAGTAGGATCCCCCAATGGTGCACTTTGAGCATGCAGTCAGGCTGTTGGGAGGCTATGGAGTTGCAGTCCATCCCTCAGGTTTACCCCAACCAGGTGCCCTCTGGGCCCACTGGTCCACCTTCTCCTGTCCCCATCTGACATGAGACAATGAAGGCTCCAGCCTGGCACAGGCTGCTTGGTTCTACATTTCTGGTGTGGGCCGCCCAGTCCCAGCGAGTGGGTCGGACCCCAGACAGGCCACCAGGGCTGTACCTGGCTTACTCTGGGCAGTCTTTTTCCTGGGGCCTGGATATCCTTCTGGTTCAGCCCCTTCCAGGCTTAGGCAGGCCTAGTCCAGATCCCCTGGCTTACTGGCTGGCAGCAGTGGCAGGGTGTTCTTGGTGGCAGGGAGCATGTCTGGCTCCATTTCCAGTGCCCAGTGTGTCCTGTCACATTCCTGGCTTCCGGGCCACCTTTCAGTGCATGGACACCATGCCATGCTGCAATCGGGACCCGGCTTGTCTGGCCCGAGGGCCTGCCACAGTGACCAAGGCACTGAACTGTGTAATGTTGTGAATATATATACATAGAACAAATAGTGAAACTGGCCAGGTCATTGGCTTGCCCAGTATCATTTAGGATCCCCAAATTTGAGCATGGCCTCAGGATAATAGGGGTACTCAGAGCTTTTTAAAGTGTGTGCTCATAAATTAAGGCCAAATGTGTAGAATTGTATCTTTCTTGACATCTTGCTTGCATTATGATAAAGAGTCTCATAAGAGATTGTTTATCTACCCAGACAAAGAAACAATGACACGAGAGGAAACATTACAGCCTAGAATTCAAGGATGGTGACAAATCCCATAGACTGGTATGTGCCCTCATACTGTTAGCTTGTTTTATTTGTGTAGTGGCACACTATCTCTGTATGTCTAACTTCTGATGCTTTTTCCACTTCTTATGCCAATATTAATGTAAGTAAAAATACATTCAATTATGTGATCTAATTTCAGCCCAGAATTAATACTGACATAATAGAAAATTTGTTATTAGGAAAGAACTGAATGATAATTTCTGATTCAAACACCTACATCCATCAGAGAAGTTAGAGCCAAATTTAAATTTGAAGCCTGTGGCTCCATTTCATCATTAGGTATGATACCAAAACCAAGAAGTGTATCTTGTACTTAGTACTTGATTCTTACATTCCATGCTGTCCTTGTTTCCCATAAATTGTAAGAATCTTAACCAAAACAAAATTAATATGGTGACCTACTCCTAAATCACTGTAAGTCTTTTCTTATGATTTGTTCTGATGTGGATGTAAATTAGGTTCTTCAGTGAGAGAATATGGTCCATGTACCTATCATTTGCTGATGCTTTAACTCAGGGCTGTTCAACTTCAAAGAGGCTGAGTGGCACATACTGTGTAGGCTGCAGCACCACAGGAACCTTTGCACTGTGGTGTGTAGGCATTTCCCTCCCACTGCTGCAGCCTTGTGTACCCTGATTCCCCACTCACAGCACCCCAGCTGTGGGTACCCCTGGCACTACACGGTGAACCCTACCACTCAAGAAGAAGGCAGTGAAGGGAGGGAGAGCCCAGAACCTTGACTGCAGCAGCTGGGTGGAAGCTAGGAGGTCACATGTGGATGCCTGGCTGCCAGTTAGC